GGCTTTGGCTTTGTCTGCTTTTCCTCTCCAGAGGAGGCCACAAAAGCTGTGACAGAGATGAACGGGCGCATCGTGGGTTCCAAACCCCTCTACGTGGCCCTGGCACAGAGGAAGGAGGAGAGGAAGGCTCATCTCACCAACCAGTACATGCAGCGCATCGCTGGCATGAGGGCCTTGCCCGCCAACACCATCATCAACCAGTTCCAGCCTGCTGCTGGTGGCTATTTCATGCCTGCCGTGCCCCAGGTGAGCTGCTGGAGGGTTTTTTTTTAACCTGTTTTGGTTCAGTATTAATCTCCTTGAGATTTTCTTATGCCTGTAAGCAAACAGCTCCTACTGAGGGGTGCAGCCTGTGGAGTTAATTCTGTGATTTGCCAGCTGTCTGTTCTCTTAATCTGACTGGAGTGWTGAGTCCTGGCAACCACTGCCAAAACATGTTGTAAACAACATTTGTTGTTTATTTGATTGTTTATTTGATGCGTTTGGATGTTGTCTCTGAGCTGATCTGYTCTTCCTGCAGGCTCAGAGCAGACCCACTTACTATGCACCCAACCAAATGACCCAGATGAGACCCAACCCACGCTGGCAGCAAGGAGGAAGGCCTCAAGGTGAGAGTGCTCAAGGCTGTTTTGGTGATTCCCCTTCCCACCAGGAACAATTCCTGCTTTCCTTAGYGGGGATGATCCTGTGAGGGCCAGRAGCTGGACTCTGATCCTTGGGATTCTCTGYGATTCTCTGATTTTCCCCATGCACAACCCCATAGCTGACTGTCTGATTTGCTAGCTGGTTCCCTTCTGAGCATTTCCCCTGGTTCCATYTTTTAGGTTTCCAGGGAATGCCCAATGCCATGCGGCAGTCGGGGCCGCGGCCAGCCCTGCGCCACCTCGCCCCCGCCAACGCCGCCGCCTCCCGGGGCCTCCCAGCTGCTGCCCAGAGAGTCGGTAAGGAGGGCTTTTCCCTTCCCTTTCCTGGCCTTTTCCACTTTTCTGGGAGGGAGGAGGATGCTGTGGAGATTTGACTTCCACTCCCAAAGATGGGATGTCTGCAAAGGGCAGATCCAGCACCTTATTGTTCCTGTTCCTCGCTGTGCAGTGCAGGGCTGGGGGCACTCGGTGCTACAGCACAGCAGTGGAAATCCAGATGGGTTCTTTTCCACTGTTGGGACTCATCTCTACACCTCTGCAACAGCACTCAAAAAGCTCTGTAGCTGTAGCTTCCAGATTCATTTTATTTCCAAAGAACAGCTAAAAAACACAAGGTGTGGAAAAAGACAAGGATTGGTTTTAAGGAGAACCAAGCCCCTTCCTAAAGTTGCCAACTACACTTTGGTTCCTAAAGAAGTGTCACCATACACAGTTTGAATTCAGAATTAAAGCCAGACATCCTGATTGTTTGCCTGTTGCTGCAAGGGTTTGTCACCGTGCTCTCCTTCCTTTGCAGGTGTTGGCACAGCAGCACAGAATTTGGCTCCTCGTCCTCCTGTAGCTGCCCCTGCTCCCAGGGCTGTCCCTCCTTACAAATACGCCTCCAGTGTCCGCAGCCCACACCCGGGCGTCCAACCCCTGCAGGTACCACCAGGGGCTGGGCTGGGAAGTYCCTGCAGTTTCACATGCAGATGAAGTGTTTTTATAGAAACTTCAAGCTGCTTTTATGACCCAGACAGTGCTAATTTGGAATTTAAAAACCTGGCAGTTGTRCCTTTGCCAGGGGCACTCTGGTTGGTTGATCTGTCTTGTACTCACAAGCCCTTCCRTAACCAGACTAAAGGATAATTTTCTTGGTTCTTTATTCATGTTTTGCAACCATTTAAGTCTSTCTTCTTTGCCAAGCTCTCACTGGGGTATCATTGAAAGAAAGAGCAGCACCCACACCTGCCTTTCTCAACATCTCAGGGTGTTTTGATCCAGTTTTTGTGAGATTTTTACAGTGCCCCTATGTGATTTTCCAGGGTTTTGAGCTCAGGACTTGATCATGCTTCTCTGAAGTGTGCTGTAGGCTTGACAAAAATCGTGATTTAGAAGGGAATGTCTTAATACTGTCTAAATATGAAGCAATCAGCCTCACAGCTATTTCATAACCCTTTTTAGGCACCTCAGCCTGCAGTTCATGTGCAGGGCCAGGAGCCACTRACAGCCTCCATGCTGGCTGCTGCCCCTCCCCAGGAGCAGAAACAGATGCTGGGTGAGTAAAATCACAGATTCTTTCTCATCCCYTCAGGTTTCAAAGCTGACTTTTAAATCAAAACTCATCTATCTGAACTCTGTTTTTCCCTCAGGAGAACGTTTGTTCCCTCTGATCCAAGCTATGCACCCCAGCCTGGCTGGGAAGATCACGGGAATGCTGCTAGAGATTGACAACTCAGAGCTGCTGCACATGCTGGAATCTCCAGAATCCCTCCGCTCCAAGGTCAGCTGCTGTGTTCCTTTTTTGTGGGAGGGCTATGGAGGGCTCTGAGGAGGGAGAAAAATCTCACTGGGTTTTGTCCCCCAAGGTGGAGGAGGCCGTGGCAGTGCTGCAGGCTCACCAAGCCAAGAAAGAAGCTGCCCAGAAAGTGGGTGTGGTTGCTGCTACCTCTTGAACCAGGATGACTGGTGAGTGCCTCAGTCCTCAGCTTCACATAAAAGCTTCCAGAATCAGTAAATAAATCACAATTGTAGTTTTGAACAATTTATGTGGGTCTGTGTCCAGCACTTGTCTGATTTTTAGTGCATCTTTACCAGCAAAAAGCTCCTAATGTAGTTCCTCCCAGCAGAATCTTTATGTAGAACCTAAGGAATAAAGTAAAATAATCTGATTTCATTAGATGCCTTAAATAAACATCAGAATGATGTTGTGGAAGTCTCTGAAGTGTTTCTTGCAGCTGACATGCCAAGGAAGGACCAATACCTGGGGATGAGTGTTGTGGTGCTGCTAATCTGGGAAATAGACACCAGGATTTCTGGTGATTTTGGGGCTAAACAGGCTCTTAATGCCCATTCCTTATCCTGGAAACCTTCAGAATGTATTAAATGTTAGAAATAATTTGAGTTTTAACGATTTCTGATCATCTGACAACTGAACTGTGAACAGTTTCTCTGCACCTTCCAAATTATATTGCAGTCCTTATGGCTTGGAATGCTGGAATATTCCTGACCTGGAGCAGGGATATGAAATGTGTGAATAATTTATTTCTCCTTTTTCCTTCAGGATACAAMGAAGCCAAATAGCCCCTTCCTAGACATCAGCTCAAGATGTTTGAAGATCCTTCACTGTCCTGCAGATCTCAAGGCCGTGCATCATATCATATATTATATTGCATTTTGTAAATTAATCTTTCAGATCTTATTTAAAAAAGCCAACTCTGAAGCTCAAGGTTTCCAAAACCAGAACTAAGGGGGTTTGCAAACTTTGCCAGAACAGAGCTGCCCCTTGTGTCTTCTAAAGAGGACGTYGAGGATTTTAGGCTGGAAGTATTTTTGTGAGTTTGTGTTTAATTGAACAATCCAGTTTGGAAAGTTTGGGAAACATTTATCAATAAAGKAATAAACTTGCACTGTGTTTGTCATCATTTCTCTCTGATGGATAAATAAATGTGGTGTGGTTTATTAAATTAAACTCATGGTTACTTATCAGGTGCTAAACCATTAAATTGGGATTTGACTTAATCTGTTTACTACTTTTGGATAATGATTATTTTGAGGCAGTTGGGTTAAAATTATGCCTGGGGCAGCGTGTGAAGGAGTGATATCTGTAAGCAGTGATCTAAGAAGGGATTGGGATGTGTTTTCGGGTGCAGGGTACAAGTATTTGGGTCCCTTTTTCTCATCAGCTGGTACRGAAAAGCTCTGCTGTTCTTAGTTTGTATTTCCACACTTTCAGCTGGCTGTTTAATGGTTCAGGTGCTGTTTTATATTCTTAAGGCAGCACTGGGGCTGACAAATTCTTTCTAAACTTATTTTGGGYGATCCTCTGCCATGAAAAGCCTGACTTAGGTAAACCTAGAGCACGCACTAATTCTGTCAGAAGGAAGCATGGACTCTCGAGGTTTGGAGAATATACCCGACCATCATCGAGTCCAACCACAGCTAAAATCCCTCGTTCAGGCTGGAGATGAACACTTCTGTTCCATAGTGGATCGGAGAATTTGGAAAAGCCCGGAATGGGGTGGATGGAGCGTGCCAGGGCTGCAGAGGGGGCTCTGA